AGTTTAAGCCATTAACATTTAGGGTTATTATTGAGATATGGGTTGTTCTTCCAGCCATATTTGTTTATTTATGTTACTAAACATGGTTTGTTTTCCTCTTTGATTATTTTCCCCCCTTTAGTGTCCTACCACCCACTGTTGGTTTTCATTGTTATTTTCCATTTCCTCTTCCTGTAATGTTTTGCCAAGGATGTTTTGAAGAGATGGTTTTCTAGCTGCAAATTCTTTTAACTTTTGTTTATCGTGGAAGGTTTTAATTTCATCTTCCATCCTGAAGCTTAATTTCGCTGGATACACAATTCTTGGTTGGAACCCATTTTCTTTCAGTGTTTGAAATATGTTATTCCAGGGTCTTCTAGCTTTCAGAGTCTGTGTTGAAAGATCAGCTGTTATCCTGATTGGCTTACCCCTAAATGTAATCTGCTTCCTTTCTCTTGTAGCTTTTAAAATTCTCTCCTTATTCTGTATGTTGGGCATCTTCATTATAATGTGGCTAGGTGTGGATCTCTTATGATTTTGCACATTCGGTGTCCTGTAGGCTTCTAGGATTTGGGATTCTGTCTCATTCTTCATGTCTGGGAAGTTTTCTCGCATTATTTCATTGAATAGATTGCTCATTCCTTTGGTTTGAACCTCTATCCCTTCCTGTATCCCAATGACTCTTAAATTTGGTCTCTTTATGTTATCCCATATTTCTTGGATGTTCTGCTCATGGTTTCTTAACAGTCTCTCTGAGCTGTCTATGTTCTTTTCAAGTTGAAATACTTTGCCTTCATTGTCTGATGTTCTATCTTCTAAGTGTTCTACTCTGCTGGTAGTATTCTTATTTGAGTTTTTAAGTTGGTTTATTGCTTCCTGCATTTCTAGGATTTCTGTTTGTTTGTTTTTTATAACCTCTATCTCCCTGTATAGTTGATCTTTTGCTTCTTGGATTTGTTTATGTAATACATTGTTGAAGTGATCTTTCATTGTCTGATTTTGCTGTCTGATGTCTTCCTTGAGACTCCAGATCATCTGAAGCATGTATATCCTGAATTCTTTATCTGACATTCCATCTGCTGCAGATATTACCTCTTCTAACGTTGAGTTGACCTGCATTGCTTGTGGTCCCTTCTTTCCTTGTCTCTTCATACTGTTCGCTTTTCTTTCTGCTTGGTGAAACTGTTGTGCTGTTGAATTTTCCCCCTATATATTTATATTGCTCTTGTATAGTTGCAAAGTCTCCCTCGCAGACGTGGGCAGAGGCTCTGCCCCTGCTCGAATTGGGGCAACGTGCCTACCACGCCTGCAGGCCACTGGGCCTGTTCTGCTGGTCGGTAGCAGGTCCGCCTACCTTGCAGGCGCGGGCGGCGGCTCTGCCCCTCTGCAGGCAGCTGGGCTTGTTCTGTTGGTGGTCACAGTTCTGCCTACCTTGCAGGCGCGGGGGGAGGGGGCGGCTCTGCCCCTCAGCAGGCCGCTGGGCCTGTTCTGTTGGTGGTCACAGTTCTGCCTACCTTGCAGGCGTGGGGGGGGGGCGGCTCTACCCTTCCGCAGGCCGCTGGGCCTGTTCTGTCTGTCGGTTGCAGGTCTGGCCTGTTCTGTTGGTGGTCGCAGGTCCGCCTACCTTGCAGGCGCGTGGGGCAGCTCTGCCCCTCCGCAGGATGCTGGGCCTGTTCTGCCGATGGTCACAGTTCCGCCTACCTTGCAGGTGTGGTTGGCAGCTCTGCCCCTCCACGGGCCACTGGGCATGTTCTGTCGGTGGTCACAGTTCCGCCTACCTTGCAGGTGAGGGGGGAGGGGGGTCTCTGCCCCTCAGCAGGCCACTGGGCCTGTTCTCCCAGTGGTCACAGTTCCGCTTACCTTCGGGATTTTTCTTTTATGCTTTTTTTTTGGTTGTGTGTATGTGTGTGTGCGCACTGGCACACGCTTGGAATTAAACCTAGAGCCATATGAAAGCTAAACACATGCCCTGCTTCTAAGCTGCATCCCTAGCCCCAGCTCAATGTAGTTTTACAAAGTGAACATACCCATCTACCCAACACCCGCTTCCAAAACCAATTCATCCATGCCCCTGTAGTCCCAGCTCCTCAGGAAGCAGAGGCAGGAGGATCTTGAGGCTGACACTAGGAGTTCCAGGTTAACCGGGGTGAAATAGCGAAACCCCAAATCATACAACAAATGAACAAAAAAAAACAAAGATCATATTACCAGAATCCCAGACATCCCATCACCAGGTACTGCCCCAAACCAACAAGGTTAACCATTATTCTATCTTCTAACCCCAGAAACTGCTTTGGTCTCTTTAGTATTCCACATAAATTGACATTATATACTATGTGTTCTTCTGTGTCAGGCTTCCTTAGCAGAATATTATATTTGTGATAGCCACCCATGTTACTTTGTGTAGCTGTAGTTTTTTATTTCTTATGCATTCTATCATTTGAATGTACGTTAATTTAAACATTCCACTGTTGGTGGACATTTGGATAGTTCCCATTTGGGTTTATTGCAAATAATGTTGCTATCAACATTCCTGTAGGTACCTTAGGTAAACATATGTTTTTATTTCCATTGTTACTCTTAGACCTGAGTAACACTACTGACTCTAAAGATTTGCAAATATTCAGTCCTAATACTATCAAATACTTTTTTAGAGTTTTTGTGTCAATTAATACCTATCAGAATAGTGTGAGATTTCTAGTTGTTCCACACCCCCACTGGATTAAAGTAGATTGCTCTGGCTATTGTGTGGAGAATGGATAGTAGGAGGTCATCCATAGATGCAGAAAGATGAGACTAATGTCATGGGGGGGAAAACAGTACCTTGAAATAGTCCAGTGGCCATGGTGATTAAAAAAAGTGAGGAGATTTGAGCTACAGTGTTGCCTCCTGAATTTATGATGACTCTTCTCTTTTTATGAAGACAATTAGGTGACTGTGAAGAGGACAGGGAAGCTGACAATACAAAAGGAAACAAATACTTTGAACAAAAGTAAAATTCTCAAGGAGTTAGTTGGTTGATTTGAAATTGGTAAATGTGGTTTGGGGGTGAAACTCAGTGGTAGAGCACTTGCCTAGCATGGCAAGACCCTGGATGAGATCTCCACCAACACAACACACACACACACTAGTAAATCCAGAAGGCTATTCTGGGTATCTGTGGATCATGGATCCTCCCAGTAAGTGACCTCACCAGACAAGTTAAGCAATGGGGTCAGCACTGGCCCTGGATCTGCCCTGACACAGGAGGAGGGGAGCGAGAGTGCTCCTGCAGATTTGGTTCCTCTGCGGTTGCTGGGGATGATATAACAGAACTAAAACTCTCAGCCCCTTCCCTGGAAAAGAGCAAAATGCTGCCTTGTGTAGTATAAGCCAGACAAGACCAACAGGGAGGGAAGGATCAAAACAGCTGTGGGATTCCAGGGATGGGAGATGAACAAAGAACTTGTTCTGGGCTATGAGGACAAGAACAAGGCTGGAGACAGAGTGAGGAGCCTCAAAGATTTGGAAACTCTCCTCGCAGAAGGCTCTGTGGATCACACCTGTATTCCCAGTGGCTCAGAAGGCTGACAAAGGAGGATTACAAGTTCAAATCCAGAAACTTAGGGAGGCCATAAGCAACTAATTGAGACCCTGTGTCTAAATAGAATTTTAAAAATAAAAGGCTATAGATGTGGCTCAGTGTTTAAGTGCTCTTGGGTTCAATACCCAGTACCAAGGCAATTCAAAAAAATAAGAAAATCCTCCCCACCCCAACCCCCACATCCAACTGAACCTAGGAACATTTTCCAACTAACCTACAGCTCTAGCCCTTTATTTTTTATTTTGAGATAATGTCTCCCTGTGTTGCCAAGGCTGACCTTGAACTTGCATCCTCAGGTCCCAATCTCCTGGATCTCTGGGCTCACAGGTGTGCCCCATCCCACCCTGGCAGCACCAAGGTTAATCTGCTGGGGGCATATATAATGAAGTGTGGGGTGGCATGGGACAAGAGCTAATGGGACTTAGTAAGGAAGCCAAGAACATCTTCCTCATGGAACATGATTAGGAATTGAATGAGAGAAGGAGAAAGGACTGATAGATTCAGGAGCCATTGAAGCAAAAGTCAAGAAGACTTGGCTTTGGCAGGTGCATAAGAATTAAAGTTTTTCAGCCTAGGTGACCTGGTGGATGCTATTTTTCAATTAAAAGGATGAGGAAATCAAAGGGAGATGAATTTGGAAAATATTATGACGTCACTTCAGATACAGGATGAATCTGAGCTAAAACCAAGACATTTGAGTGGACATATCCTTCAGGCAGTTAGATTTGGTTCTCTAGGCATGTACAGATAACTATCATCAGGGGAATAGCCGATTCCCTGGCAGGAGTGAACTTCTTGTGGGAAAAGTCACAGGAAGAAAAAACGATTAGGGGCTGGATCTTAGGAAATCCCATACTCCACATCACAGCATTTGTGAGCATACTCAACCATATCCTAGCTCACCAGACCTTCCAACACCACTACATCTTCCCACTGCTGAAGGCATTTATAGCTAAGGAGCATTTACTCTAAAGCAGTCTTGACACCTGGCCCCCCAGTTACCATTAAATCCTAAGAACAACTATATGAGGTAGGTTTTACAAACCAATTTTACCTAGGACAAACTGAGACCCAGAGAAACCAATTAGTTCATTGAGTGTGAAGTAGTGTGGCCCTAGCCTCAACTCAGGTTGAGGAATTGATTGGGAATCAGGAGGGCACCTACTATGTGCCAAGGTTTATGGGGAATGTTTAATATTGAACCCAACCCTCAAGGAAGCTAAAATATGAACATGTAAGGTAGGCACATAAATATGATAAAGTAAGGTGGAGTTCAGCCATGCTCCAGAACAGGTAGAAGTAAGGTCTTCCTATAGTTCAAAGGGCTGAGGACATCATAGGCAGCTTCCAGGAGAGGTAAAGACTTTAAGAATTTGTGTTTGGTGCTGGGTTCACACTATTACATTGACTCACTATTACACTGACTCTTATCCCACAGATACTATGTCCTGGAATCACAGCAGCTCTGGCAGAGGCTAGACATCCTGACTGGGTGAGATACAAATTAAGAAGCGATTTGGGAGGACATGGTGTGCACACCTGTAATCCCAGTGACCCTGGAGGTTGAGGCAGGAGCTTCTCAAGCTCGAGGCCAGCCACAGCAATTTTGCAGAATCCTCTCTCATTAATAAAAAATAAAAAGGGCTATAGATCAGGCTGGGGTTGTAGCTCATCAGTAGCACACTTGTCTGGCATGTGTGAGACAGTGGGTTCTCATAAATTAATTAATTAATTAAATATCCATCAACAACTAAAAAAAATATTTTAAAAGGGCGGAGGAGCTGCTGTGATCAATCTCGGTAGTAGAGAACTCCTAGGATAAATCCCCAGTGAGCCTCCACCCCTCAAAAATGAAAAAAAGAAAGACTGAGGATTCTGTCTCTAAACTAGTCTCTCCCAGAGCCTCTACAGAATTCCTAACTGCCATGAATCCCCACTGGCCCTTAGTTTTGCCTAACTCCAAGTCCCGGGATATAGGAAAATTTATTTTCAAGCACTCTGTTACAAGACTGCATCCCCAGCCCCAGGAATGTATTTCAACCTGGCTCCAGAGTCACTTGGCCATGTGGAGAACACAGCTAGGTGTGGTCGGGCCACCATGGGGAGGGGGCAGCCCTATTCAGCCCACTTTCCACACCCGGTCCAGATTACATGTTCCTGCTGGTGCTCAGTCTTCGGAATGCTTGGTGCCATCTACTGCCTCTCTGTGTCCGGAGTCGGCCTCAGAATTGGACCCAAATGCTCAATGTATGGCATGTGGGACTACAACTTCCAAGAAACCTTGTAAGGATTAGCAAATTAGTGACCCCCATTCTCTATATGCCCTGGTTTCCATGTCCTTCCCACAAGGGCCAGGACCCTGGGTGCCACTGAGCTTCAGGAGAATTCCCTCCATGTGGGTCCAACTAACCCTTCGAAAATTTCATCCTGTGAGTGGAGGGGACTGAGGGTGGGGGTAGGGCACCACCTGACCTCCTTCACTCACCGCACCCTACCTGTCCACAAAGGCGCTTACTTGAAGAACTATGCTTCCTGGAATTTCTGTGAGGAACCACCCAACGTGGTGTCCTGGAATGTGACACTGTTCTCCTTGCTGGTAGTTGCCTCATGCCTGGATATTGTGCTGTGTGGCATACACCTGGTGAACACTTTTATTCTATACTTTGTGAACATGTATAGACTATAGCCCTCCTTGATCTGAGGCTTATTTTGAAAAGGGACATGTTTTTCTTTTTTTCTTCTTCCTCCCCCTCCCAACTTGGGGACAAGGAAAAAGATTGCCTTGAGTTATCTGTGCTCCACAGGAGGGAGATGTCTGCCAGAGTTTCCAGGAAGAGACTATCTCCCACATTAACAAGTGAATCCTAACACACAATCCAGATGCCCTGAGACCCCCTCTCAGGCACACCTGGAAAGTAGATTTTGAAGAGCTTCTTTATAAGCCCTCTGATTTCCCTGATGGGCAGAATCACAGCCTCTGGGACAGGATTCCCCTGTGTTTCACCTTCCTAGCAAACAATAAAATGACTTTTCCTTTTCCTCAAAACAGTGTCCTCATTATTAAATTGGCATGAATTGTCATAGGGGACAAAGACCAATCTTTGGGTTACATTATTAGTTTCATTTGTGCCAACTGGAGGAAAAAGGAGGTGGGACAGCATAAGGTGGACTTGTTGAGGGACCTGCTTGCTTCTGGCCAAGTCCTCACTCCCTTCCTCATTTCCGAAGGGCTCAGCTCACTGAGCCTCCCTCCACTGACGGCCAGGTCATTCCTGCTTGCTCCAGGACCCCAGCCTGGCTGGCCCATTCCCTACCTCCCTGGAATAAACTGCTTGGAGTCCACCCCAACCCTCCCTGTTCAGAGTATGCCCTAAACAGCAGAAGTGTGTGAGGGCCTTCTGAGCTTGGTGTTCTGTGACCCTGTTAGGAGCCCTCACTCCCCACTTATTTTTGTCACAGGTACTGAGCTACTAACTTGCACAGGAAATACAGTGGTTAACAAGGTACATGTGCTCTCCAGGGGTGGAATAGGCAATTTTAAAAGAAGTAAAGGATTATTTCAATTGATGCTTACCACATTTTATTTGGTAATTTCATTATTGACTCATGCTCCATACTGGAGATTATTGAACCCAGGGCCTCACACATGCTCTGCCAGTGCTCTACCACACCATTGAGCTACACACACCCACATCCCTTTTTGTTGAATTTTGGGACAAGGTCTGCTAAATTGCCCAGGCTGGACTCCAATTGGGATCCTACTCTCTCAGCCCTGCAAGTAGGTGGGACCCAGTATGCACCACCACACCTAGTTTACTAGCACCTCTTCATCTCAGCCATTCTTTCTGGCTCTTACTTGCAGAATCCTAGTGATGTCACTGAAAACCTTCCTGAAAAATTCTTCCAAATCCCACAGTAAATATTTCTTCAGAGATCTGTCTCAGTATTTGGGGTGACATGCTCTCCCCTTGTTTGGAAGAAAAATTTCAGAACTCCTATAATGTCTTGAAACATTATTCACATTATTTCATCCATACAGAGTTGCATAAAAATAATGAGTATTTGTGGACCATACACACACATATTTTTTTCTCTCTTGTCCTCAAAAGAAGTAACTTCTTGGGCTACGGACATGGCTCAGTGGGAAGGGGCTTACAAAGTATGCAAAAGAGCCTGTATTTAAGGACTGTTGTCCTCAAAGAAGTACCATGTTGCCAGGTGCAGTGGTGTAAGCCCATAATTCCAGCAATTTGGGAGGGAGGCTGAGGCAGGAAGATGGTAAGTTTGAGACCAACTTCAACAACTTAGCAAGACCCTAAGCAACATAGCAAGATCCTATCTCAAAATTGAAAAATGGTCTGAGGATATGGCTCAGTGGTTAAACACCCCTAGATTCAATCTGAAAAAGAAGACAATGGAGGAAGAGGAGAAGAGGAAGAAGAGGAGAAGAAGAACAAGAAAAAAAAAACATCTCTCAGACTCACTAGAGATCAACGTGAAGACAAATATGTGGCCTGCTCATGGCCTGCTCTTAGTCCCTTATTCTTGCTCTTAGTCCCTCTTCAGGTCTACATTGGAAAGGCCCACTATTCAGGACAGGACAGTGGCTCTAGTAGCTCAACATTATTTCTAGTGATACTGCTCTACCTCTCATCATTTTCACCTCCCACCCATTCACCGCAGGACCCACATTCTCCATCTCGGCCTCCCAGTCCTCATGCTCCTTCCTCCTGCACTCTTCCTGAATGGCACCTCTCTATGCAATACTCTTGTGGCACCTTCTGATCATTTGTGGTTTCTATTGCCTCATGGCTTTTTTCTACTGCCTTCTTCATACATTTATCAGTTTGGAAACTTCTACATCTCTAATGTCTCTCTCAGGTTGTCTCACACAGATATTTCTCATGAATGCAGATCCAGGTAGTTGCTGAGTGATCATGCAGACAGGGTACCTCTGTTCAGCAGGGCTCTCACCTTCAGCAATATCCTAAGTCTCTAGCTACATGCTTGCCTGCCTTGGATCAGCTACATTTATCACTCAGTCAGTGATAATAGGGTTTGTGTTGGGCAGCTATTTATGTGTAAGGAAAAATCCCACACAATCTTAGTAGCATACAAACATAAGCATTTATTTCACTTACCTGTGCATGGATTGGTTGGAGATGGGCTGATATGGGTTGGGATCCAACCTGGACCTTTTCCTTGCATCTTGCACCATTTTTTTTTATCAGTGGGTAACTCAGGCCTGTTCTTCTCATGGCCATGATAGTGGCAAGAGACAACACACAACATCTCCTAAGGCCTAGACTCAGAACCAGTATCTTGTTAATTATGCCCATTTTATTTTCTGCCAATATGGTGGGAAGTGTATTCTACCTCTTACTGAGTGGGGAGGTGGTAAAGGGACAACTAAATTGCTTAACAAAGTACATGTTTACAGGGAGGATGGAGCACTTGCAATGAGCAATTCCATTTTTACTACAGATCATATGGTCATACGGCTCCAGGCATGATGAAACCCCTCAAAGGAGGCTGTGGAATGAGAGTCTGAGGTTTCTCAGGGGGTCACAAGTTAAAAGACACTGTTTGCAATATTTCAAAGTAACCACTAGGGCTGGGGATATACCTCACTGGTAAAGCACTTATCTCACCCTGGTTCAATCCCCAGCACAACATACACACACACACACACACACACACACACACACACACGATAATAATAAACAAAAATAACTGCTATTTAGATTTAAAATAGGCCTTGTAGGGGCTGGGGTTGTGGCTCAGTTGCAAAGTGCTTGCCTTGCACGTGTGAGGCACTGGGTTCAATCCTCAGCACCATGTAAAAATAATTAAACAAAATAAAGATACTGTGTCCCTCTATAACTAAAAAAATTTTTTTAAACTTCCTTAAAAAATTAAAATAAAATAGGCCTTCTAATAGGGAAATGCAAAATTTTTGAAGAAAAAGGATAGTAGATATCAGAAGCAGCATTTTAAAACATTTTAAAAGCATTAAACAAGTCAATAGAAGCAAAACCCAACATCAGTTACCACACTGATTGCCTGTGAGTCAGAGGTAACCTATCGGGCAGTTCAAAGTATTTTCTTTGTTCATGTGTCCTCTCATTCTAGAGGTCAATTCTTCAGAGCTTTTTCTCCATCCAGCTTCTCTATCTTATAAACAGCAAGAATTCCGCTCAAATTCTGGCATTCCATTTTAGTGGTAAGATTTCTCCACCATCCATGTCTCTCTAATGTTTCAAGTGGGCCTTTGGGAGAAACTATATCAGTAGTCCCCAACTGGCTCCCACTTTCTGTGTGGTACCACTTTTTATGGCAAGCACTGTGGGGTCCTGCGGTACTTAGTACTATCTCATATCTTCCATGGACACTACCTCATCACACATGGATGTGGGCTAATTCTGCAGGGGCTGCACACTCCTCTTTCTGCCTGACAATAAGCTGGGTCTCAGCCCTCATCTGTGAATCCTGGTATCTCTACCACAGGTCCTAATGAAGCAAGGTTTTAATAAATTAATCTCCGTATGAAAAAACTACTTTTTATATTGTAGTTGACAGAAACACAATTCAAACCAATTCACATTATCCAAAGGTTCCACATTGGGCTGCAGTTCTAGCTCAGTGAAAGAGGGCTTGCATAGCATGTGTGAGGAACTGGGTTTGATTCTCAGCACCATATACAAATAAATAAAAATAAATGTCCATCAACAACTAAAAAATGTTTCTAAAAAAAGTTTCCAAGTTTCATATGTGAATACACCACCAATGTAACTCCACATCATGTACAACCACAAAAATGCAAAGTTATACTCTATGTACAATATGTCAAAATATACTCTACCATCACATAAAACTAAAAAGAAGAAATTAAAAAGCAAAGAAAAAATGTTTCCAAGGAGTGCAGAGTGTGGTGGGGCATGCCAGTAATCCCAGCATCTCAGGAGGTTGAGACGAGAGGATTGTGAGTTCAAAGTCAGCCTCAGCAATTGAGGGAGGCCCTAAGCAACTCAGCGAGACCCTATGTCCAAATAAAATATAAAAAAGGACTGAAGATGTGTCTCAGTGGTTAAGAGACCTTGGGTTCAATCCCTAATTTAAAAAAATGTTCCAAGGAGTGATCAGGTTCCAGGCATGGCTGAATCTGCCAATTCAAATGATGTTGTCACACCTCACTCTCTCTCTCAATGGTTGTTTCCTCTGGATTAACTTCCTGCTCTAACAGGAAGGGCCTTCCTCAAGGTGAAACAGGCCACAAGCAACATCATCACCTAAAAAAACCCAGAATTTCCTTGACCTTCAGATGGTGAACAAAAACAAGAACACAAATAAATAAATTTTAAAAATGGATTCTTCATGGAACTGGCTTGGATTGTACAAGTATGGCTGAGTGAAATGTTGAGGCCCAAGGATGGTATGTTCTAACAAATCAGGCCTCAGTCTCAATTCTACCCTGAGAAACATGTAGTAGTCTCAAAAGGAGAGGGATCAATAAACAAATATTAATGAGATGAAATGAAGCCAGGCTCAGTGGCACATGCCTGTAATACCAGTGCATGGGAGGCTGAGGCAGGAGGATCATGATTTAAAAACCAGCCTCAGTAACTTATCAAGGTCTTAAGCAACTCAGTGAGAACCTGTCTCTAAACAAAAGTCAAAATAAAAGGCTGGGTTGTGCCTCATTTGTTAAGTGCCACTGTGTTCAATGCTCAGTACAAAAAAAAAATTTTTTTTTAAAGAATTTGAAATAAAAACACAGCTGAAGCCTGCTATCATCTTTTTTCATTTCTTTCTGGGAGGAACTCTCTATGTGTAACAAATGGAAATGATAAGCCCACTGTACACCTCCTTGCGCTGCCTAGTTTAACAAACATTCCCCCTGTCCTAAGGAACCCTTACAATCAGTCAAGAGGCAAGTGATATCACTCTATCCTTTATAGGGATGAGGCAGTTGTGACCTAGAGACATACAATGGCTTGGTTGAGTCTTCAACAGGTAAGGAATTGAAGAGGGATGATGGAGAGGTGTGTGCAGAAAAAAAGACGAAGAAGACATTGGCACCAGTGTGTGACTAGCTCTCCCACCACATTATCGCACATCCACCCCCTCTCCTCACCAGCTGCAGCTGGTGATAGGGCCTCCCTTATCATTCTGATCCTGCCAGTGTCTACCACAGCTTTTCTCTGACCTGTACTCACATTACAGCCTGTGTTCCTCTGTGGCCAGGAATACTTTCATTTTATTTCAGGCTCACTTTCATTCACTGTTTCACCATGCACCCAAGGAAGTGTGCCCACTGGGTGGGCCTCTCCCTAATATCTCTCTCCCTAGTGTGCATCGTGGCCAATGCCCTCCTATTGGTGCCTGATGGGAAGACCTGGAGCTCAGACCAACTCAGCTTGCAAGTCCTGCTCATGCCTGGCTTCATCGGCGGGGGATTGATGGTGAGGAGTGTATAGAGCACAGGCCAGTCATCAGGGTATGGGCACCACTGAAAAGGATTGTGAATGGGAAGGGAGGGGAGATGAAAAGGACAGTGCTCCAGAGGGGCGGCAAGTGCTTGGTGGGGAGTAGGAATGTACAGGGTGCTCCCCCTATAAACTCAACACTCTGGAGACAGCCCTGGAAGAGCCCCCAAGGACCTGAGATCAATGTGTAAGGGAAGGAGAAGGCAAGGAGGGGAGGCTCAAATCTCTAAAGAGCTCCCTTTATGGGTCAAAGCTTGTCCCACCTGACCCTCCCTGCACAGGCAACTGAGCAGATGTTGGGGACCCCTCACTACAAGGGTCCAAGCAGAAGGAACAGCTGGCTGTGTGGGAGGTTATCAGGGAAGAGTAATAATAGGCATGGGGAGGTACAGCAGAAAGGTCTGGAGCCAGGCAGTGATGTCACCCATCAGTCACTCTACCTCTCAGCTCAGTGCTGCCCCTCCCTCCTCCTCTTCCACTCACTCTCAGCCCACATTCTGGATGCCCACTCTGTGCTGGTTGCTAAGGACAAACTCAGAAGCAGGTAAATCAGGCAGAGAAGTTGCTCCCAAGGCTTCCTGGAGATGAGGATCTGCTGGAAGAAGTGAAGGAAGAGGAGACAGATTTCCTGTATCTCCTCCTCCTCTCTTTCCTCGTTTAGGGGAAGTTTAGATGGTCAACCTAGTGTAATATTTGTGGGGGGGCAAAGTTGAGAGATCTACCCAGCAGAGTTTCCCTCTTTTCAGGACAGCTGACAGATAACATTCTCTAGAAGAGGTCTCACCTTGTCCCTATTCTGGGTCACATCTCTATTACCTAAATGAGGATACCGCTCCTTTAACTAGCAACTCCCTCTTACTTTCTGAGGTCTCTTCTACTCCCCATCTCTTGCATCATGGCTGTTGGACTCTACTCCATCTCTCTGACTTCTATTATCTCTGAGATGTCACACTCCTCTAGGCCTACATACTTGCCCATTGTCATATCATGTCCCTTCTTCAACCTAAACTACCTCACACTCCTCCACCCAATCTAACTAATCATCTGTAGAGGCCACCTTCAACACTATGCTCCCAACATTCTAACTCACAGCCCTCTTCCTTCCCCTCTACTACTCGAGTCACTCTCAGGAAGTACCATATTATGCCACGGAGACACAGACAAGGTTCCTGCTCTCCTGGAAAACTGGTACCTTTTAGGGGGCAATGGTATGAGGAATCAAAACTAGAAACCCCATGAGAGCAAGTACAGCTTGTTTTGTTGGTTGCTGTGTGCCTGAAGCCTAGACCAGTGCCTTCACCTAACAGGAACTTGGTTAATAGTCACTGAATGAATGAAGTAATCCATAAGATGATTTCAGACAGGAGTAGGTACCATCAAAAATAAAATAATTAGGACTGAAGGTATAGGTCAGATACTTACCTAACATGTGTGACACCCGGGTTTGATCCCTAGCACTACTGCAAAGTGGTGGGGGGGGGGAGAGAGAGAGAGAGCTATGCATATTAGCACATGCCTGAGAGACAGAAAGAGCACTATGCATAGTAACACATGTCTGCAATCCCAGTTAATTCAAAAGGAAGATAATGCAAGGTGCAGGGGCACATGCCTATAATCCCAGCAACTCAGGAGTCTAAGGCAGGAGAATCACAAGTTTGAGACCAGCCTGGGCTATAAAAAATTGAAAGGACTGGAATATGCCTCAATGGAGAGAGCCTTAAGGTACAATTGTCACTACCAGAAGAAAAACGGCGGGGGGGGGGGGAGAAAATTATAAATTTTATTGAGGCCAACCTAGTAAAATTAGAATATATACAAATATGTGTGTGTATATGTGTGTGTGTGCATGTGTGTGTGTGTGTGTTTGTGTGTGTGAGTACACTGCAGTACAGCTCAGGGGCAGAGTGCATGGGTTGATCAATCCCTAGTACCACAATAAATAAATAAGTAAATAAATAAACAAATAGATTTATCATATAGAGCTCCTAGCACAAGAAGTTTGGGGATTTTAGGTTTTGGGTTGTTTGTATGTGTGTGCATGCATGCTCACTGGGTATGAACTCAGGGCCCTGTGGAAGCTCAACACATGCCCTATTATTGACCTAGATCCCTAGCCCCAGCTCATTTTACAAAGTGGACATACCCACATATCCACTACCCAGATCAAAAACAGTTAATTTACATACCTGCATTGGAATGACTCAGGAGGCTAAAGCAGGAGGATCTTGAGGCTAAGGCTAGGAGTTTCAGGTCAACATGAGTAAAATAGCAAAACCCCATCTCATAAAACAAACTAACAAAAAACACAGTTCATTATTACCAGAATCTCACACATGCCTCTTACCAGGTACTAATCCTCAACAACAAGGTTAATTCTATCTTCCAACCTCCAGAAACTGGTTTGGTTTCTTCAGTACTCTATTTAAAATGAAACCATGCACTATGTGTTATTTCATGTCTGGCTTCTTTAACATAATATATATTTATAACCCATCCATAATATTTTATGTAGCTATAGCTTTTCTTATGCATTCCATTGTATAACTATAATTTAAACATTCTACCATTGATGGACATTTGGATAGTTTGTAGTTTGGGTTTATTGCAAATAATATTCTTATTATATTTCTGTAGCTGTCTTAGGTAAATATATGCATTTATTTCCATCCTGTCTACAGTTAGAGAGGAGTACGATTGCTGATTCTTTTTTTTTTTTAATTGTTGATGGACCTTTATTCTATTCATTTATTTATATGTGGTGCTGAGAATCAAACCCATGCCTCACACATGTGAAGCTAGCACTATACCAGGGAGCCACAACCCCAGCCCAACACTGCTGATTCTTATGATTGGCAAATATTCAGTGCTAATACTGACAAATAGTTTTCTATAGTTTCTGTATCAATTTGATTCTGATCAGCACAGTGTGAGAGTTCTAGTCACTATCCACCCCACTGGATAAGTAGATCCCCTGGCTATTGTGTGGAGAATGAATAGTAGGAGGTCAGCATAGATGCAGGAAGAGGAGACTAATGTCACGGAGGAAAGAGAGTATCTTGAAAGAAGCCAGTGACCATGGTGATAGACAGAAGTCAGCAGATTCGAGCTATAAACAGTGTTGTCTCTTGAATTTATGATAACTCTTCTCTTTTTGTGAAAATAATTAGAGGGCTAGGAGCAAGACAGGGAAGCTTAGACCACAGACAAAAACAAAAACTTTGACCAAAAGTAAAATTCTCAAGGAGGTGGGTCATTTAAAATTGACAAAATGTATTGGGGGTATAACTCAGTGATACAACACTTGCATAGTATGGCAAGGCCCTGGATTAGATTGCTAGCTACTCAGCACACACACACACACACATAAAGCCAGAGGCAGTTCTAGATATCTGTGGATCCTGGAGGCTCCCAGTAGGTGACCTCACCAGTGAGGGTAAGCAATGGGTGGAGAATGGCCCTGAATTGCCCTGAAACAGGAAGAGGGGCATGAGAGAGCTGGTAGAAATTTGGTTCCACTCATCAGGTGTTTCTCTGCAATGGCAATTCCTGAGTCACTGGGTTTAAGGTGTGCACCATCACACCTAGGCAAGACCAAGTTTAATCTGGTGGTGGCATGTGAGTGAACTATGGTGTGGCAAAGGGCAAGAGCCATGAGACTTTGAAGGGAGGCTGAGAACTAAAACTCTCAGCCCCTTCCCTGGAAAAGAACAAAATGCTGCCTTGTATGGTGTATGCCAGACAAGACCAACAGGGAAGGAAGGATCAAAACAGCTGTGGAATTCCAGGGATGGGAGATGAACCTGGCCTGTGCTATGATCACAATGACAAGGCTGGAGGCAGAGTGAGGAGCCTCAAAATTCTTCCTAGGATTTAGAAACCTCCTCCCACCAGAAGGAAGGCTAAGAACATCTTCCTAATGGAACTTAATTAGGAATTGAATGGGGGAAGAAGGAAAAAGGACTGATTGATTCAGGAACCATTGAAGAAAGAGACAAAAAGAGTTGAAATCTGACTGGGTGCAAAAGGATTAGAGTTGTTAAGCCTAAGGGACCTGAGGGGTGATATTTTTCAAATACAAGAATGAGGAAATCAAATGGAGATTTATTTGGGAAATATTTTGAGGTCACCTCTGAAACTGAATCTGAGCGAAAATCAAGACATTTGAGTGAACACATCCTTCAGGCAGTTGGGTTTGGATCTCCAGGCATGTGGAGGTGACTATTAGCAGAGGGAATTACCTGGGAGAGGATGGACTTTGTGAGAAAAGTCACCGGAAGAAAAAAGATCAGGGGCTGGATCTTAGGAAATCCCACAACCCACATCACAGCATTTGTGAACACACTCTACCATATCCTAGCTCACCAGACCTTCAACACCACTACCTCTTCCCACTGCTGAAGACATTTATAGCTAAGGAGAACTTACTGTAAATCAGCCTTGACATCAGGCCCACCAGTTATCTCTTTCATTCCTAATCACTGAGAACTAGGTTTTACAAACCCATTTTACATTGGACACAACTGAGACACAGAGAAAGCAATGAGTTCATTGAGTGTGAAGTAGTGTGGCCCTGGCCTTCCACTCAGAGCCTCCAGATTCCCATTCAGATAGGCACCTACTAGGTGCCAAGATTCACAGGGAATGTTTAATACTAAACCCAAACCCTAAGGAATATACAATATGGACAGAGTTTAGATAGGCAGGCAAATAAAGTATTGTAGAGCCCAACCATGCTCCAGGACACATAGAGATAAGGTCTTACCAAGTCCAAAGGCCTGAGGACAAACTAGGCAGCTTCTGGAAGAGATGGAGACCTTGAGGATCTGGGTTGGGGTGGAGGGTTCACAGTATCACACTGACTCTTGTCCCACAGGTGCTGTGTCTGGGAATTGCACTGGTTCTGGTAGCTGTTGACTATGACTGTCCGGTGAGATCCCAGTTATGTAGAGATTTGGCCTGGTGTGGTGGTGCACACTTGTAATCCAAGGGACTGGGTGGTTGAGGCAGGAAGGATTCCAAGTTTGAGGCCATCCTCAGCAATTTAGTGGGACCCCATCTCCTAAATAAAAAATATAAACTGCTGGGGATGTATCTCTTTGGTAGAGCACTCATGGGTTCAATCCCAAGTAACACCAGCATCCCCTCCAAAAATGGAGAAAGAGATTGAGGATTCTGTCTCTGAACCAGTCTCTCATGGAGCCACAGCACCCTCTGCAGAATTTCAAGCATTCTGTTACAGGACTACATCCCCAGCCCACAGAATGTATTTTCAACCTGGCTCCAGAGGAGCTGGGCAGTGTGGGGGGTGGAGCTAGGTGTGGCTAGCCCAGGAGTGGGGAGCGGACAGCCATATCCAGCCCACCTTCCACACCCCTGTCCAGGAGTGGTGTTTACCCGTCTGCTTTATTGAGGGACTACTTGGTGCCATCTACTGCCTCACCATGTCAGCAGAAGGACTCAGAATTGGACCCAAATGCTCAATAAATGGCAAGTGGGACTATCACTTCCAACGGTAAGGCTTAACTTGTATTCGTGACCCCCACTCCCCATCCCCCCATGCCCTTCCCACGTGGGCCAGGAAACCTGGGTGCTCAGAGCTTCAGGAGAATTCCCTCCTGTGGGCCTAACTAGCCCTTTGAAAATCCCATTCAAAGTGGGGTGCCTGTAATCCCAGTGGCTTGGGAGGCTGAGGCAGGAGGATCAAGAGTTCCAAGACAACCTCAGCAAAAGCAAGGTGCTAAGCAACTCAGTCTCTAAATAAAATACAAAATAGGGCTAGGGATGTGGCTCAGTGGTTGAGTGTCCCTAGTTAAATCCCCATGAAGAAAAGAAAGAAAGAAAATACCATTAGGTGTGTTCTCAGGAGATGGGGTGGGGGAAGGGTGCTGCGTTTCCTCTTTGGATCTCTTGACCCTACTCATTCACAGAGATGAATACTTGAGCCACCCTGATGACTGGAATATCTGTGAGGAGCCATCCAATGTGGTGTCCTGGAATGTGACATTCTTCTCCTTGCTGGTGGTTGTCTCCAGCCTGGAGATCCTCCTGATTTTCAGCGGCTGTTGCTTCACTTGTATTGCTGTTTCGGATGAACCCAGATCAAATCCATTTTAAAGTCATAAAAAGTTAATTTCTGTTTTACTATAAATTACTGCGATTTCCAAACTTGTTTGGAATTCCTGCCTGTGCCTTGAATTCACCCATGCCTGGCTTTCCCTGACCAGATAACAACCCTCTCTAAGACCTTACTGGCACCTCATAAATCCTGGTTCCTCCTGACCAAATAACAACAATTCTGATGTTGGTGTTATGCTCGAATTCGAGACCCCCAAAAAGACCACCAGAGACCAAGATCAATGTAAACAGCAAAGAGGTGTTTATTGCAAGCTAACTCGGTCCTCTGTGCGCACACAGCAACTGGTGACGCTGAGAGGCCCCGAGCCCAGGGTTTGCAGCAGTTTTATACATTCTTTGGAGAAGGCAGGGACCGCCACATACATCATAGTATCTCTTAGCAAATCATCACACACCACGGGAAAATCAAATAACAACTCTAAAACATGAGTAGCACATTCACTGGTGGGAACAAGTTGGGTAGGGGTGATTGGTTACTACAAGAGGGAAATTCGTTTGAACTGATTGGTTTAAGCCAAGGGGGTGTTCCTGCTGAACTACGTGGTTTCCCAACACCATAAACTCCTGGGAGGGTCATCTGGCATCCCAAGTATTTCCCTGTCTCATGCTGATTGGTGGCTGCTAGGGGGTTGCTATGGGTCCTCACCTAGCCTGACTGAGTCAGGGACACCTGTCACAGCAGATCTCTCCTGTTATTTGTAGATAAACAACTTAGCAGGGTGGGAATGTGCCTAGGAGTGCTCTGTGGGTCTTTCCAAGGACAAAGGTCATGCCCCTTCCTTGAACATGCTTTGCCCTGAGGTAGAGGATGGTTTTTCATTGGGATCTGATTACTCCCTATCTTGAACTAACATGCCCTGTAGATCATTAACCTACTATCTGCCTTTGTAAATGCTTCTCAAAATCGTGTTAGATCTACGTTCTTAAGACACCCCCCTTTGCAACTTTTTGTGCTATAAAACCTTATTCCTGCAAAGCTGGGGGGCTAGTCTCTAGCCCACGTTAGAAGAGACAGCCAACACTTATCAGCTCTTTTTGTGTACACAAATACAAGCTTGTTTTAATTGGATTTAAAATTGGAGTTGGTGGTCTTTTGTTTGCATCAGGGTTTAACAGTTTGAATAATCATAACAGTGCTCCACTTCTCCATTTTATTAAAACTCTCCTTGTTCTGAGGCTTATTTTTGAAAGCAAAAAAAAAATTTTTTTTTCCTTTTCTCCCTCCTTCCTCCCTAACCTGGGGTCAGGGAACAAGATTACCCTGAGTTATCTGTGCTCCACAAGAAGAGGATCTAGGAAATGAATAGCTCCAGGGCACACCTGGAAAGTAGCCTTTTGTCAGGTTGGTGGTGGTGACTTAGAACAAAGCAGCCCTCAAGGGGAAAGAAACATCAATCAGGCACCAACAGAAATGCTATTCAATCAACAGGATCTCCTGACTAATGCCTGTCAATCATCAGGACCCCCTGGCCAATCCTGAAGTTTAGCCAAGCTCCCCGACCAACTCTAGCAGGACAAGGGACTCCAAAAACACCTTTTCCTGTCCCAAGCCGTTCCCTTCCTGCATGAGCCCCATAAAACCCCAGTCCCATCCAGTGATATACTTAGCCTAGTTCTCTCTTTAGATCAGAAGCCAGATTGTCACAAGTTATGAAGGATTCATTTCTGTTTTCTGTAAAAATATTAGGATGTCTGTATGGCCTGGCCATTAGTTGATGTTGTAAAGCTAATTGGAATGCCTGCCCATGCCCTGAACTCACCCAAGCCCGGTTTTCCCTGATCAGATAACAACCCTTTCCTAAACCTTAGTGACATCTCATGAATTCTGGCCTTCCCTGGCCAGATAACGACCCTCTCTGAGTCTCTAACACCTCCATAAATTCTGATGTAGGGGCCAGCAAAAATGTAAACTTGTGTTATGCTCCTCAGTGTTTTGTTATCTGTAATCCTCCTTTGTGTAACATTTTGGGCTATAAAACTGGGCTGCAAGGAAGCTTCTGGGCTGTCCTTGGCTCCCATGATTTTGATGGGAAAGGCAGGCTGGCAGGTCGAAATAATAAGCTTGCTTTAATTTCATTTTAATTGGAGTCACTGGTGTTTTCTTGTGACGTGATCTAACACCAGCTCCCATGTGGTTTCTCAGACTCTTCTCCTGTCAACTGTGTGGGTCTGATTGAGTTCTGCCCAGGAAAGATATCAAAATAAAGCCTCATGGAGGGGGGAGAGTTGTGGCTCAGTGGCAGAGCACTTGCCTGGCATGTGTGAGGCACAGAGTTTGATCCTCAGCACCACCGCATATAAATAAATAAAAAATAAAGATACATCAACAACTTAAAATATTTTAAAAATAATATAAAATAAAACAAAATAAAGCCTCATTTGGCAGCCTTTTTAAGTCTGCCTCCTCTGGTCTCTGCCCGCCTTTGCCTGATCTTACAACTTTGAAAACCTTTTTTAAAAGCCCTCTGTTTCCCTATGGGCAGAACCCAGCCTCTGGGACACTAGTCCCCTGTATTTCTCATTTCATTGCAAAGTAATAAAACTACTTTCACTTTTTTCTCAAAACAATGTCTTCGTTATTAAATTGGCATGTATTGGCATTGGTGACAAAGACCCAGCTTTCAGTAACATTACTTTGTCATTTGTGAAGATTACAAGAAAAACTGAAGCAAAATCAGACAGGCAGTCAGTAGAAATATGTAAATGGAGTCAGGTCAGATCTAGGAGGCCAATTTTGAGTCAGGAAGTTAGAGACTGTCCCCTGATGGGTTGAAATGTTAATTCCTTCAGAGCCCTTCCTCCACCCTTATCAAGAACCTGCCCCTGCTCCAACCTGTGGCTAAGGTAACCTGACCCAGGAATTGCCCCTCCCTACAGGGAGCTCTAAGGTTGTTGATTAAGGTGTCCTGGGCTCTGCCATCCTGCCCTTCCCCACCTCTTTTCCACCTTTGACCATCCCACAGAAAGAGCATGCTCTTTCTCCTTCCCTAACTTGGGAAGGAGAAAGATAAGAGGAAGAGGGCAGAAGAACAAAGGAAGCCTAGGACATATAAAAAGGGCAGAACACCTTGCTTCTTGGGATACCAGGATACTAGCTATGGCCCCATTCTCCCTCCCAGGAGAAGTCTCTGTTACCCCTTTTTAAATAAACCCTGCTTTATATGCTTGCCTCAGTATGCTTCTCTAATGTTCAAACTTCAACTTGTGAGGAAGCAGGACTCTTCACCAAAAACCAGCAGTATCCAAAGGATAGGACTGTGTGAGGTGGAGATGTGGAGGGACCTGCTTGGTCCTGGCTAAGTCCTTGCTCACACTGTCTTTTCTGCTGGGCTCAGCTCACTGAGGTTCCACTTATACCTCCTTATACCTGCTTGCCCCCGGACCCCTGCCTGGCCTGCCCACTCCATGGACCCCTGGAATAAACTGTTTTGAGTCCACTCACAACACTCCCCGCTCAGATAATGCCCTAAACCAGCAGGAGTGTGTGAAGGCCTCCTAAGCCTTGGTGTTCTTCTGCCACTGTTAAAGGCCCCAAACCCTACTTATTTTTTTTTTCAGAGTTGCTGAGCTATTAAGTTGCTCAGGAATACATTGGTAAACAAGGCAGATAAGTTTTGTGCCCTCAGAGAATTTAACATTCCAGTGTGGAAAAAGAAATTTTAAAAGAAGCAAAGGATGGTCTGGGGCTGTGGCTCAGCAGTAGAGTACTTGCCTCACACGTGCAAGACCCTGAGTTTGATTCTCAGCACCACATAAAAATAAATAAGTGAAATAAAGGTATTATGTCCAACTACAACTAAAAAATAAATATTTTTTTTAAAAAAGAAAGACCAAATTATAAAAAAATAAAATAAAATAAAAGTAAAACAAGCAAAGTATTATTTCAATTGATGGTTGTTGGGAAAACATATAATGGCAGCAGCACCCCAGAGAAAAACCTCAACATGGCGCCTAACGACCCTCTTTCTCCTCTTTTTTCTTTCACTGGTGCGAAACGTTCCCGCTGGCACCAATGTTCAAATCCTGCGGGTGGGAAACCTTAGCCCCAATAGGAATTAACTTCTTGGGCTCCGGATCTGACATATGGAAGAGCTTGCCAATAAACAGGTGACCCGTTATCTACCTCAGCCCTGCCACCTCTCCTTAGGTCTATATAAACCCACAGCCTTTTGTAATAAAGCGGAACCTCTCCGGTGATTTGTGTCATGTGGTGTCTCCCATTTGTAGTGCGGTGCGGTGTCTTACAGTGGTGCCGAAAACCAGGGAGACAGTGTGCTTGATAAACCAAGCCCCGTCTCCGCCACCGCTATCTCCAAGGACACATTTCGCCCTTGTCTGTCTTTGTGGGTGCTGGCTCCCTGCACTCACCACTGATCAAGTTTAGGCAAGTTCCCCCTCTCCGGCTTGCCAACTCCCTTCAGGCAGCAGCAGGAGACGCGATCATGATTGTCCAGCACGCCCCTGACATCTAGTAGGGAGGAGGGAATGCACCCCACTAAGATTTCACTGGTCACAGGGGACCCTCTGGTGACCCGCTTCCCTTTGGGGTGTGAGGATTCTGGGTTTACATGAGAGGCTCCCTGGTCTCTTCCTCCTCTGCGGAAGCTGCGTCCCACTGGAACTCACCCCGCAGGAGCTGTGTTCAGCCTGGAGCTGAACTTCCGGCCCAGAGCTGCGTTCTGCTGGAGCTCTGTCCCTTTTCTTTCTTGACTCTCTCTAGTTCCAGTCGAAAAACTTTCCTGACACCAGGTTGCCCGCGGCCTCGACCCTACAGGGTCACACACACTGCACTTCGTCGGTGACGATCGAGCTGTGCCCTCTGTGCCTACTCGCAGTGGACTGGTCACTTCGGGGACGCCCATGTGATCCTCCATCTGCTCTATGCTTCCAGGAAGCCCCTACAGCCCGGGTTAATTCTTTTTCTCCCTTTGCTGTCCCTTCCTCCACTCTTTAACTAGGGGTGCCTCCTCATCTATACCGGACACCTCACCACTCAAGTGTCTCCTTGAGAATTTGGCTACTCTCTCTCTCCCCAGACCTCAAGCCCAAAATTCTTATCAGATTTTGTACCTAAGATTGGCCTACATATTCACTGTATAATGGCAATCATTGGCCTCCAGAAGGCTCCTTAGATCCAAATCTCCTCCGGGACCTTTTTAACTATTGCCAGCGCCTGAAAGGGTAGAAGGAGGTTCCCATGTTTTCCCGTCCTGCCCTCTGTTCTCTGTTCCCAACCTTCCCCTCTGCGCCCTTCCCTCCACTCTTCATGTCTGCTCTCCCTCCCAGTGGTACCGCTTCCGCGTCCCCTCCCTCTCCCTGCAGCAGCCGCAGCCCGCGGCCCTGTCTGCGCACTTCCCCTGGAGACATCCCCCTCCCCTCCCTCTTCTTCCTGTCCGCCACCACCGCACGTGGCCCTGTCTGCCTGGCCACCAGACACTTGCGCTGGTGCTCCACCTTCCCGGAGCAGTGGGCGAAACGGGCCAGTAGTGCGCCCTTGGTGGCCTGGAGAGGCCTCGGGATCCCACCTCAACCAGCGTGCGAACCACCGTCCTTCACCTTCATCGTGCCACGGCAGCTTTCGCGTGAGCCCCCGACTCGCGCATGCCTCCCTTTTGCCGCCGGGTTCCCATGGGCAGGCAGGATGGGTCCCACCTGGCTGCAATGGGTGGGATCTCCGGATCCCTTCAAACCTCCCCCCCCCCCCGCACTCTGCTCACCTCTTCTACTGATAAGCCCTTTCCCTCCCCCTACTCACGCCTCTCTTTTCCTGTCAGTGCCCACACCCGGTCCCACTGATCCCTCTTATCAGATAACTCACAGTTCCTTTGTCCTCTCAGGGAAGTAGCTGGTGCTAAAGGGATAGTCCGAGTGCACGTCCCATAACTGAACCTAACTGGGACTGCATGCAAGCAGTTTCTAATAAGGTAGTTAACTTTGATAAACTGAAGGACATTATCCAGAACCCTGATGAAAATCCATCCTTATTTCTCAACCACCTTACAGAGGCCCTAACCAAATACACTAAGCTAGATCTTAGTCCCTCATCAGGGCTACAGTGTTAGCAACCCATTTCATTACTCAATCGGCCCATGATATTAGAAAAAGCTCAAATGAGCTGAGGAGGACTCTCAGACCCCTATCTGAGATCTGGTTAAAATGGCCTTTAAAGCAGGCTCCATTGCAGAAAAGAAGGTAACACCCCAAACTCAGGTCTTGACAGCAGCCCTGAGGCCTACATCTCCAGCAAAAGTTTCAGAGGGGAACCAGCATTCCTCTCCACCAGAGGCTTGCCTCAAATATGGATGCGAAGGTCACTGGGCTTGCCAATGCCCAAACCCATGGCCTCCTTCCAGGCCATGCCCCACCTGTAAGCAGACAGGACATTGGAAGATTGACTGCCCCATGGCTGGCCCTTCCTCGGTGCCTCTACGCAGGGGTATGACCAGTCAGGCAGTCCCTTCTCCTGAACTTTTGGGGTTTGCAGAAGACTGAAGAAGCCCAGATTCAAAGACCCCCTCAGCCCTCTCCGAGCCAGGGTAGTGCTCCAGGCAGCCGGTAAGTCCATTCCTTGTGGACACGGGGGCTATCTATTCTGTCTTGCCTGCCCATTCAGGCCTCTGTTTCCTTCCCAGGTCTCAGTTATGGGGATTAATGACAAACCCTTCTCCCCAAACAGAACTGTAAAGCTGGCCTGTGCCCTGGAGGGACACCCATTCACCCACTCTTCTGGTCATTCCATCCTGTCCAGTTCCTCTCCTAGGCAGAGATGTTTTCCAATTACTAGGAGCCACCCTCCAACTACACCCCAAGAATACTACCACCCATCTCCTTCTTTCTTTAATTCTTACCCTCTCTAATAACCCACCAGTACCTACTGTGTCATTGCTCCCTGACCTAGTCGATCCCCAGATCTGGGACATCTCCACGCTGGTCATAGCCTCCCACCACAAGCCATACCATGTGAATCCAGCTGAAACCCCAAACTAAATTTCCTTTGGTTCCCTAAGACTGCCCCTGCAACAATCTCATATTTCTGGTACGCAAACCCTCAGGAGCCTATCACTGAGTCCAGGAACTCCGCCTAATTAATGAGGCAGTTATTCCCATCCACTCGGTGGTTTCCAACCCTCATGCTTTTCTTTCTCATATCCCCCTTTGACCATTCACTTTACTGTCCTGGATCTTAAAGCTGATTTCTTTACAGTGTCTCTGCATCCTGACTCTTATTACCTCTTTGCCTTCACATGGGAAGACCTTACATTCTTTAGGTTTCAACAGCTGACATGGACAGGCCTATCCCAAGGCTTAAGGGACAGTCCCTACCACTTTGGTCAGGCCTTGACACAGGATTTAACTGTTTGAAATTTGGGGATAGCATTCTCTTACACTTGGATAGAAGCCTTCCCTACATCCAGGAAAACTGCTGACACTGTCGCCTCCATCCTCATTGAGCAGATCATTCCTAGGTTCGAACTTCCTGCCTCCATCCAGTCAGACAA